TTCCATGGATACAGGAATTTTAGTGCTAAGGCACATTTACTATCGCTTTTCTTGTCACCAAGAGTCCTGTAAACACTTGTGCTTTAAGATTTTGCGCAGAAATTTAGCATTTTATACAGGACCAAGTCAGAAATTACCTTTTACAAAAGCATTGCATGTATGGTTTTCCCTAAAGCAAAGTTGCTGGAATCATTTATACTTGTGGTCTCTTTTACTGGTGCACTTTTATTTATTAGACTAATAAAAGGTAATAAAGGCTTAACTACATTGTCAGTATCACTTTCAAGTGACAGCTATTTATACTATATAAATGTTGCAATTAATCAATAAGACAACTTGCTCTGAATTTCAAATGGAGAGAAGCAACTGGGGAAGGCAGGAAGAGGGATATTATGCCTATATTTAACCATTTTTATCCCTGAACATGGTGAAATTTTATTTTCATTTCAAAGGATACCATTCATGGTTTTAATTTATCATTTTTGTATCTATTAGGATTTTTATGTTTTTCTAAAGGTCTGTTTGCAATTCTGTGAAGCTGGAAGTCTGTGTTATTATCTTCCAATTTCCTTCATGTTATAACTGAAGCTCAGAAGACTCAAGAAATATGTCCCATGTTACAAGTCAGTAAGTTGCACAGCAGAGAGTAGACTCGAAGACTCACTGTTCAGAGATTTCCCATTGGCTTTTCCCTGGCAGAGTGTAGACAGCCAACATTTTTAGACAGCATACTCCTTTCCTGTCATCCTTGCCACATGTTGATAGGTGTTTGCATCTCTGCCAAGGCTTCATGAAATCAGCCTTTGCTCTACCTGTGCCTTTGATTGGACCAGAGACTTGGTTATCCTAATTGACAAAACTCGGTCATTTCCAAAGCTATTCAGAAGCAGCAGTCACAGAAATGATTCCACAGCTTGGATGTACCCCTCTATGTGAACTCAGTGAGGAAAGAGGTTTCTAGCTTGCATCACATCAACCAAGAACATACAAAGGAGATTGAATGAGAAAGCTTGAGAGTTTGGGGAGAAGTACAAAAGCCTATCCATTGCCTGGAAATCAAGAAAACTCTTCCCTTAACATCTTGGAATTTGGGCAGGTGGAATTGGAACTACTAAGGTGACTTTCTCAAAAGGTGACTTTCTTAACTCTCCCTTAAAGATGCTCAGGTAACCATCAGCTTCTGTGTTCTAGTAGCAAATAACCCAGTCAAGGTTATTAGGTCTCTACAAAGATTATTAGCACACTAGCTCTCTCACACCCTGTATTTCTATAGATTTTTGTTTGTTTGTTTGTTACTGTGGTTGTTTGGTTTGTAAGTGTATGTATGTTTTCATCTCAAAAGAAGACTTCTCAGTCACCTTCTAATAAGTGAAGGAGTTTGAGTAAAGAAAAAGCCCTGGAGAGGGACCTCCTCTCCCTTCCAGAAACTTCACAACTCTAACCTCAAAGTGAACTCCAGACCTGAGTAGCCACAGGTTCATAGTGAGGGTAGGAAAAGAAGACAGAATAGGAAGTGTTTTGCTCTAATCTGCACCCGAAGCAGTAGGGCTGTTTTCAGGGTCCATCACACAATGTCAAATGGTTTCAGTTCCTGTGTATTAAAAAAGGCAAATAATAATCTTGGTATTTCATAGAACTTGTGTTGCGATGTGACCTTATTTTTTTTACAGAAAACATGACATCTCCATAATAGTTATTTCAGTAAGTTGCAATCCTTTCAATTCAACTGGGCAGCAACTGAGTGTGCCATGCGCTTGATGCCTAATCTATCATTGCCAAAACAGTGGGATCTGGTTATTTGGTTATAATCTAATGTTTGCTTGCTTCACATAACATGTGCAGTTTGAGATATGTCAGGACTGCAAGTTCTGCATTCAAGCAGTGTGGCTCAAGGCTAATTCTTCCCTCTTTTTGAATGGAAATTTTAAATCTAAGTTTCTTAGGAAGAGTTGCAAATGAAAGACGGACTCTCTTTCCAATTCACAGAAATAATGGAAGCTCTCGGAGCTCTCCCAAACAATAAAGTTATTTCTGTTTCTCCAAGAAATTCATTTAGACATCACATCAGGTTTATTCTTTACCAAATGCGTTTTGTCCATATCTGGCAGGGACCTCAAAATAAAATTTATAAGATTTATTTCATTTTAATTCTATTATGATGCATTTAATCACAACACCCTCCTCATGAAAAGATAATTTATCATTTTGCCCTGACTGAGCAATCCTCTTCAGTCCACATTCATGAATCCATAATGCAGGGAGACTGGATGATTAAGTGTCCGATTAGAGAAAACAGATTAACCTGGCAAACATAATAAATTTAGCTCATAAGCAGGATGACTTTATAAATGCTCACAATAACTCTCCAGTATAAAATCATGAAGCACTTCCTTCAATGATGACTCAATTGAAATAGTTGGAGAACATAAAGCAAATGCATGTTTATGGCTTTCTCTTTGAGACAATAACCAGGTCTTGGAAGGCATATCTAATTCCTTTTACAGCAGTAGGCATATATTAAATAGGAAACTTGCAAGAAATATATTAACTCATAAGAAAGGCTGTAAACTCTCAGGTGGTCTGATTTCCACTTTGCCAATAATTATAGATAGTTTCTACAAGCTTTCAATGACTTTCTTTATGCTCAATGTTTCCCAAAGTGCCCATGCCAGATCCAGGAATTCAAACCAAACAGATTCACCCTTACCCAGCCGCCCTGACCCCATCCCGAAGAAGAACCTGATTTCCTTCATAAGGCAACTGCATCTTTAGAGAATTCTTATCCTGTTGTGATAAAAAGACATAACATAAGCAAGCTGGGGGATTTTTTTAAGCTGAATTTCACTTACATCAGAGCAAAAATAGGTTATGACTTGTTTGAATTAAAGACCTATAGGAGCGATACCACAGCGGTAGGGCGTTTGCCTTGCATGCGGCTGGTCAGCCCACCCTGTTCGATTCCTCCGCCCCTCCCGGAAAGCCCGGCAAGCTACCGAGCGTATCTTGCCCGCATGGCAAAGCCTGGCAAGCTCCTCGTGGCGTATTCAATATGCCAAACACTGTAACAACAAGTCTCACAACGGAGACGTTACTGGTGTTTGAGCAAATCAATGAACAACGGGAGGACAGTGTTACAGTGCTACAGGCAGGGCTCCACCGAGTTCCCTCTGCAACTCACCAGGCCTGCAGGCTGCCGTTTCTGGCCTCCCTTTTTTAGACACGAGAAAGGGAAAAAAAACGGAGACACTCCTTCTGTGCCACTTTATTTTTAATCTCCCATGGCTGTATTCCTGGAGGCCTTTGCTGGCTGACCTGACCTGAAAGAGAGTCACTTAGGCACACTCTGTCCCATATGCTCAGGTCACATTGAATGAAACCCGGGACTTTTTTTTTTAACTTATTTTTGTAATTTATTTTTTTCTGTTTTATTTTATTTATTTATTTTTTAATTTTTATTAGTGAAACACCATGAGGTACAGTTGTAGACTTAAAAATTTTTGTGCTTGGGACTTTTTAGGGGCACAGCAAGGAGGGGCAGGGGTTAGGGAACAGCCCTTGAAAGTCCTATTCTTAATTAAAATCCAAGAGTGTTTGGGACCAGGTAAATTTCTCAAAGGGAGGAAAAAATGGAAGCTTGGAAGTGTAGGGGCTGGTGCAACCCTTTATTATGCTCTCTCTCCTGTTCCCAAGTGGAAGCTGATCTGGAGTGCGGTATTGTTCCAAGTGAACACTTTGAGCCCCAGGATTTGAATCAGTCTAAGCCTATCCAGGAGTGTGTGTGTGTGTGTGTGTGTGTGTGTGTGTGTGTGTGTTCCAAGTGAATTCTTTGAGCCCCAGGATTTAAATCAGTCTAAGCCTATCCAGGAGTGTGTGTGTGTGTGTGTGTGTGTGTGTGTGTGTGTGTGTGTGTTCCAAGTGAATTCTTTGAGCCCCAGGATTTAAATCAGTCTAAGCCTATCCAGGAGTGTGTGTGTGTGTGTGTGTGTGTGTGTGTGTGTGTGTCTGTATATATGTGTGTTGGTGTGTGGTATTGTTCCAAGTGAATTCTTTGAGCCCCAGGATTTAAATCAGTCTAAGCCTATCCAGGAGTGTGTGTGTGTGTGTGTGTGTGTGTGTCTGCATATATGTGTGTTGGTGTGTGGTATTGTTCCAAGTGAATTCTTTGAGCCCCAGGATTTAAATCAGTCTAAGCCTATCCAGGAGTGTGTGTGTGTGTGTGTGTGTGTGTCTGCATATATGTGTGTTGGTGTGTGGTATTGTTCCAAGTGAATTCTTTGAGCCCCAGGATTTAAATCAGTCTAAGCCTATCCAGGAGTGTGTGTGCATGTGTGTTTCAACGTCAACTATGCCCAATCAGATGGAAGAGTGTGTACCCAAGATCAGTACACGGGAGTATCTCAGGGTTCAGCAGAACCAGCCAACTAGACAGGCACAGCTTCTTGAACCACCCCACCCCCACCCCCATCCCCACCTGCAGTTGGTAACTTGCACGCTTGATACCATCATGTTCCGGCATCAAACGTGGGACTGGGAGCATAAGCTAGGGGGTGTGGGGTGTCTGTCTGGCTGTGCGCTCTGTGCGCGTCTGCGGGAGGCAGGGCGGGGCCGCCTCTGGAGCGGGTTGGACCACAGTGCGGGGAGGGCTGAGGTTGGCGGGGCTGCGGCGGGTGCTGCGTGGGGGGGCGTGAGGGGGGAGGGCGGGCGCGGCGCGGGCGCGCGAGTCCGTGGGGAGGGGGGGCTCCGTGGGGCGGGCCGGCGGTGACAGTGACCGGCCACCCCGAGCGGGTGCGATCGCCGCCGCCTGGACGTGGTCCCCTGCGAGCGGCTGCGAGATCAGGGCGAGCCCCGGCACCTCCTGCAGCGGCCACGGGGAGGAGACGAGCATCCGGGGCGCAGAGAGAGGTGCGCGGGCCGGGCGGGAGGGAGGAAGGGCCTGGAGGGGCCCAGGCAACAGTGTGCGCCCCAACGGTCAGAGGGCACCAGTGCTGAGGCCCAGTGGAGAGCATCAGACCCAACGTCCACACGAACAAGCAGCCACCGGCCTCTGTCCCCGGGGCAGGAGACTCACTTCCGGTGCTGCTGAACCAAGCGTTTACAGGAGGCCGATCCCGGCCCAGAAACCTGGGCTTGGCTTCTTGGCTTAGCCAGGCTTCCACAGCTTGCCGCCCGGCAGCACTGGCGTGAACATGACTCATCATTGCAAATAATAATTAGAAAACATTCGATTCGGGAAATACAGAGGATGCTATAGGCCTGGCAGTCGGTACCGTGAAGATGATTTATGGGCTGGAGTCAAACAGCCACTCCGTTCTGCTCGGGCTGGGGCTCCGCGTTCTCTCATTCATTAAACATTTGCTCGGTGGTTACTTGTGCCAGACACACTGCAGGAAACCGACTGGCGAGAGAGAAACAAGAGCTAGTTTTCCCTACACCCAGCGCGCAAGAAAATCCCCCAGACACCTCTAACTGACGCAGGTGTAGGAGTCGGTGAGTTAGACCAGAACACCTTGGAAACTCAGAAGGAGATGTCAGTTTTGGTTGACAGCAAGGAAACCTCGGCAAGGAGGTGGTGGCACCTGATCTGACTCTTTAAGGGTCATTTGGGAGCATTTGTAAAAGGGTTCCCAGGTCCAGGTAGGTCAGTATTAGCAACAAGATGTGAGAATTTTGGGTAGTTTGGTTTGCCTAATTAGTATATGGAAGGATGAATACGGAATGAAGATTATAGTGAGGGGAAGCAGTAAGGGGCCTGGAGTAATTTCAAAGCGGAGAATGAGGATAGTGACTGGTGGGGCTTGGGGGAAGCCCTTGCTGGAGAGGAGTGAGAAAGTTGAACCAAGAACCCTAGCATCCTGAGTGTCTATGATTTGGTAAACTGCAAGCACAAAGCCTGTGTGTCCAACTCTGTTGATGGAATAGTGCTCTGGGTGAAAAGGCAGCTGCAGTGGAAAAGGGTCCAAATTGAGCTGGGGAAGTGTTGGAGCAGGGATAACCTTATAATGGCATTCCAGGCTGCCAGTGGTGTTCTTGGGAGTCGTTTGCAAAACGCACTCTTAGTATTCCTGTAATACGGGTAGCCTCCTGGACAGGGCCCGTCATTTATCAGCCTGTCCTCTGTGCCGCCAATGGTTATTTCGTTTGATGCATCCCCAGGGACCAACACAAAGCTGTAAACCAGGCAGTCTGCTTTTGGTGGTTGAAATGGGAACTTTCTTGTATAGAAATTACAGCAACCTTCATGTCACTTTTTCCTTTAAAGTGGCCAAATTGTTCTGTGCAGATAAACTGCTCATAGGAAGTTACTTTTGCCTTATCAGTATAGACACACAGATTACAAATTAAGTCTTTTTAAACGCATCTTGAATTGAGTCTTGGTGAGACGCACATTGTAAGTGGAAGTGGATGAATTGTAAGTGGATGAAGTAGGTAGAGCCCATGCAAATCAAATGACCCAAAGAGGCATTAGATTCATTTGCCTGAGTCTAAGTCTGGGTACCTTTCTGTGTTTCTAGTCCTACCTTGACACATTTCCTGAAGAAGATCTGGGATTTCCTTCCAAACCCCAATTCTTATCACTCTCAATATTCAAAAACTTCCTATGAAACATATATTATGTGTGCCGTTTCAGCCTTCCCTATTCAGTGGGTCTTCGAGAAGAGAGGAAACATGAAATGTTAATACCAATTCCTTTGGTGAATTATGTGAATTGGTGGTACAAAGAGTGTGCATGGCATCTAGAAGAGAAGCATTTTCTTCTAGGCCTGTCACTTGCCATTGGTGTGACTTTACCTCTGAACCTGAACACATCTGAGTCCGAGTTTTCCTCGCCTATAAAATGATGGTTGTGATCATCTGCTCATTACATTGAACCTGTCTAACTGGATGAGAAAGGCTGCAGTGGTCAACAAGGGTCAGTATGGTGTTTCTGGGGAGACGTCATTAAAACTCAAGTATCTGGAGCTTGACCTTGCCTGATCTAAGTCCAGGTATGGGGCTTTTGTCATTGTGTGCACTTGGGTGAGTACCTGAACCAGGGTTAATGTTAGGTGCTTTATCTACTGTCCAGTTACTGTGAATATTACACCTAAGGGAGGTCTGGTAAATGAAATGAGAGAACATTAGCTCTGAAAGGACTTAGAGAGATTCCTTCCTCTGCCTCTCCCCTCCACCCCAGGAGATCTGACATATCAACCCTGAAAGCATTTACAAATTCCCCAATATACATCTACTGCCACAAGCCACATAGTTTTCTTACGAGATCACCTTCAACGAAAGAAAGATTTCCCTGATACACTGCTAAAAATGCTTGCATTTAACTTACTCATATTGGTCCTCATATGCACTACAGAATAAAGTGCTTTAGTTTCTATCTCTAATTAAATGGCTTATTTGAAATCACTACAGATTCGTATATAGGAAATATTACAGAGAGAATCCTATTCCATTACATGTCTTAATGGTGACATAATGCAGAACTATGACATAACATTATCATCAGGATATGGGCATCACCGACAGGGTAGAGAGGCACAGCATTCCCATCCCCATGAGAATCTTCCATGTTGCCCTTCTCTAATCTCAACCTCTTCCCTGTCATTACCTTGTTTATTCCTGGGAATAGCAACTGTTCTTTGTTTCTATCTGTCACTGTCACTGTCCTCCCATTGTTCATTGATTTGTTCGAGCGGGGCCAGTAACATTGCGAGACTTGTTACTGTGTTTGGCATATCGAATACGTCACAGGTAGCTTGCCAGGCTTTGCCGTACGGGCGAGATACTCTCGGTAGCTTGCCAGGCTCTCCGAGAGAGGCAGAGGAATCGAACTCGGGTCGGCCATGTTGGCCGCTTGCAAGGCAAATGCCCTACCTGCTGTGCTAGTTTTCCTATTTCAAGAGTTCTCTATAGAGATTCATGTAACCTTTGGGCATTGGCTATTTTTTTTTCTTTTTTGGGTCACACTTGGCGATGCACCGGGGTTACTTCTGGCTCACGAACTCAGGAATTACTCCTGGCAGTGCTCAGGGGACCATATGGGATTCTGGGAATTGAACCCAGGTCGGCCGCGTGCAAGGCAAATGCCCTACCCACTGTGCTATCACTCCAGCCCCCAGTCATTGGCTGTATTTAATCCACATAATTTTTTTGAGAGTCATTCAGATTATTGCATCAAGAATTCATTCACATTCCTCTATAATATTTTCTAGTACTGTAGGACCACAATTTGTTTAGGCACCCGTTGAAGGTTATCTGAGTTGTTTCTTGTTTTGAAATAATTAAAATAGGCTATTGAGCAGCTATCAACGTGTATATAGGAAATGCACAAAAATATGCTTCTTTTTTTGGGGGGGAAGAGTGATAGTACAGTGGATAGGGTGCTTGCTTTGCATGTGGCCAGCCCAGATTCAATTCTAGACATCCCATATGGTCACCCAAGCTCACAAGGAAGGATCCCGCAGTGAGAACAGGAGTAAGCCCTGAGCACTTCTGGGTATGGTAGTGGTAGAGGAGGAGGAAGAAAAAAGGAAGAGAAGGAAAGAGAGGGGTAGGAAGAGAAAGCAAAGAAGAAAGAAGAAGAAGGGAAGGGGAAAATAGTGAAGGAAGGGGAGAGGAGGAGAAGGAAGGGGAGGGGAAGGAAGGGAAAGGAGAAGATGCTTCTTGTCTCTGGAACAGTAGCAGTGTAATTACTGAATTGTATGGTTGAAGTAAGTTTTTTATTTTTTTAAGCAACTTCCAGCTTACACCCAACGTGGCTATACCATTTTAAAGTCTAACCAGCAATGAATGGATGATCTGGTTACTCCAGATCTTTGTCTGAATTTTCTATGGACACTCTGTGTGTGTGTGTGTGTGTGTGTGTGTGTGTGTGTGTGAGAGAGAGAGAGAGAGAGAGAGTTTGTCTGTGTCTGTGTGTATGTGTGTCTGTGTGTCTGTTGTGACTACTGTGATAGGTTTGTGGTGCTCATTGTTGTTTGATCTGCATTTCCCTAGGGGTTCATAACTTATTGAACAGAACTTGGCATCTGTGTCTCATTTTGGTGAAAAGTGTCTTCCTATTTTTCTTACTGCTTAGTTTTGAGAGTATTTTGCTTGTTCTCTCTACCAGTCCTTTCTCAGATATATGGTTTGCAAATATTTCCCCTTATTTGGAAGCATCCTTAGTCATCCTTTCAATAGGAACCTAGGTGATGCAAAATTGTTTTATTTCATGTCACCCAGCCTCTCCTGGTTTCCTTTAATGGGTAGAACTATTGGTGTCAAATCTAAGAACTATTTGACTACCCCAGTTCCTGAGGATTTTCTCCTGTGTGTTTTGCATCCTGTTTTATTGTTTTACATAAAACACTTAAGCACATGATCTGTTTTGAGCCAGTTGTTGGATAAAGTGGAAGGCTTAGATTCAGATTCTTCATCTGTTCAGAAAGAAACATCCAATTGCTCCTGAGTCATTTGTTGAAAATATTTTGTACAGTAGCAAATTACCTGTCTGTGTTTTTTTTTCTCAGTCTTGAAAATGAAGTTATTGTATGCAAACTGGGTGCTGTTCAAACTTCTCCTTGGGTTATGGTGTCCCAGGTGCTTCAGAGGAGCAGTGAGGAGCAATGAAGAGCAGATGGGGGATCCATAAGCACCCCCCTTACCCCAATTTAAACCGGGGCAGGGTTGTTTTCAGTGTTTAATATTTTCTTGGTTCATCTGCTATTTAGTTTGATACACTATCTGATTGAGAAAAGCAGATTTAATTAGCAATGGTATACATAATATCCGAGATACCTTTCTCTATAAATTGCTATGCTCTGGAGTTATTTGATGTGAGAACCCACACTTCTTTACATGTTAACCTTCCGTTTCCTCCCGAGTGTCTTGAGAGGTTGCTCATATGAAATGTTTCCCCTTAATCCTGTCACCCTTCTTTGCAGACGAGATGGGTGCCATCAAATCAATTAAGTTAGCTTACGTAAATCAATACATGAACTATATGTCAAGCATTGAAGGTGGCTTAGCTGTATTTATAATTTTATGAATGTTTGACATTTTGCAGGGGGCACATTCATTGCACAGAACCAAGTGGCTGAGGGAATGAGGAGTGAACGTGGCACAACAGCCCCAAGCAGTAGACTCATGTGCCTTTCCACACAGTCACCTTCCACCTGTCAGGCTCTTGCCAGTTCATGAAGCCCTTGCCACAGCTTTCAGTCAGTTTGTGAAAGGCAGCTTGAAACGTCTTTTAAAGACAAAGTACATATGTTCGTATACTGGCCTCTAGTATCAGGACACAGAGACTCAGAACATTCGTGTGACTTGTGCAAAGTCATAGGACCAGCAAGCAGATCAGAGACAAGTGCTCACATCTCCCCATTGTCTCCACTTAGATTGCCCTCTATATTTTATTTTATTTTATCCTTTTTTGTTTTGTTTTTTTGGGCCACACCCAGCTATGTTCAGTGCTTACTCCTGGCTCTGCTCTCAGGAATTACTCCTGGCAGTGCTCAGGGGATCCTATGGGGTACCTGGGATTGGACCCAGGTAGGCTATGTGCAAGGCAAATCCCTTACCCGCTATACTCTCCTTCTAGCCCTTCCCCCTCTATATTTTATAACACAAGGGTTTCAATGAGAATTTGCCAATAGTTGGCATTTGCTACTGTAGCACTTATTTTCTGTAAAGTGGGATAATAGCATAATAAACTTAAATAACTATAGGTTTTCTGAGGATTAAATGGGGTTAATTGAGACAAAGCATTTAGGACTGAAGAAGTTATATTATTTAGAGAGCTCTTCATGCAGACCACGATTATTACTGTAAGCTTGGCTGGGTCTCCAAATTCTAGTAGCATCACCGGTCGGTTGATTCCTATTCACAGGAAATGTGTTTGTTTATATCATAGTATATTATCTATTTTTCTTCCTATTACCCACATGGCTAAAATGTGAACTGTGATATTAATAAGACTCAGACATATTTGAGAGGGTGGTTAGACTTAATGGTTTCCATAAAGTTGTTTTAATAGTTATTTTTCAACAGATGGAGAACTTACATTTGGCCACATTTCTGTGGCAGTGTGATGATTGAAGTTTTCAACAGATGGCACCCAAATACTTGGGAAAACGCCCTCCCAATATTAATTGTTGTAAAAAAAAAAGGCTTCGAGAGTGCCAGGGAAATGATAGTCTGTATTCCCAAGTCCTTAGCTTGTGCTATTATAATTATAATTTAAATGCTTTGGAAGTTTTCCTTTCTGGCATTTGGATTTGTTTTGTAAATGAGCACACATATCTAGATTAGAGTGAGGAATGACAAGGAGCTGTCTGTGGTCTAGTAAAGATTCAACATGGACAGAACATCAAATCTCCTTTTGATTAAAAACCAATGTGCATAATTTTCTCTTGTGGAGTCATTCGGCTTCTAACCCATACATAGAAAATGTAACCATCCCTAAAAGTCTAATTGTCAGAGATGTTTATGTTCTTTCTGAAGAGCATTGATTTTTTTTAAATTTTATTTTCTTAGGTAGTTCACAATATTTGATTACATTTAATATTCAAACACCAATTCCACCACCATTAACCTTCCCACCATCATATTTGGGATGTTTCCATACAAAGCCCCAATCCCTGTCCTCAAACAAAACTGAAATAATGTATTTTGTATTGTTTAGTATGAAAAACTGCCGAAAATACTACAGAAAAGTATCCACAGGAGAAATAGTGTGAGGATTGCTCTATTTTGGCAGGGGCCATTAAGACCTTCTTTAGGAAACATGTTTCTTTCACAAACATGTTGTGAAAGGTTGAGTGATGTGAACTTTCATATATACATCTGAAAAAATATATATGCATATACATTTGCTCTATGACTGGTAAGCCCCATCAAATGTAGTGTGGTACTCATGGAGAATGGGTAGGGAGTGTCTTATGATGTGTTGCGGTCCAGAAATAGGTTCACTCGTGGGTGATGCTCGGCTCGAGCGTGTGGGGAGAGCGTGTGGGGAGCGACCTTGAGCCTGGCAGTGGTTGGGTTCTGGAGGTTTTCGGATACCGGGGCTGATTCCCTTGGGGCGGGGAGGGCTCTCGCCTGCTCCCCTCTGGGGCGCCCCAAGTGAAACATCCTGGCGCGAGGTCCTGTGGCATGGCTCTGGCGGGCATCAATTTTCTCCCTTCTGGGAAAGAAAGCTGTGCGATCTCTGAAGAGTATTGATTTAAAAGGGGGAAAACATCTCGCCAAACCATTTTTAGACATAACCATCAATATGTTGATCCTAACCTTCCAAGCTGTTCCACTTTTGCATTGACCACTTTGCTATTTCTTTTAACTAATATGGACCAGTGGAAATCTGTGGGAGTGTTTGTTGTTGTCAGAGTGTGTAAAGACACACATGATATTTAGTGGGTGGAGGTTTGAGTGCTTAGACACGTACTGCACAGTTGAATACAGAAAAAAATTCCCCATCTCCTACAGTATTCCTGAGTGTCTGGCTGAACAGTCATCCAGGATCTCTGCTTAAATTACATGGCAGAGTAAGTTTTGCAATGTAATATTTTTCCATACAGAATATTCACGTCTACGCATCCTTCAGTTCTTCTACTTGATTGTGTTGCTCATCCTTTGCTTCTCAATCCTCATTTTCTCATGTTAAGTAATGACAAGCATATAGACACTTCATGTTATCTTTTGGGTAGTTATGGAAGACCATTTTACCATAGTAAAACCAATATTTCCTTTCCTTTTCCTAAAAGGGCATTATAATAACATAAAAATCATTTACAGGAGTAATTCCTGAGTGGAGAGCCAGGAGTAACCCTTGAGCATTGCTGGATGTGACCCAAAAAGAAAAAAAATCATTTACAGACAAATCACATTATCCGTAAATTTCTGAATTTAAAGAGAAAAAAACAAAATGCTTATAATAAAATGACACTGGAGCTGATCAGAAAGCACTGGTATGAAAAAGTAAAGACAAAATATTTCTCCAACACATAAGTCAGTGTTGGAATCATTAGAAGGAAAGGACAATGCTATGGGTTAAAGGCATTAACTGGGGTGGAGGAGGGGTCCCACTAACTTCTCTATTCCTCTGCTTCAATGTCATCAAGTGACTTTCAGATTGACAAGTTATATCAGTTAGATCTTCTTGGTGTCTGTCATTACAGATGGCGTTTAATGGTTGCTTTAGTTTGAAATACCCTGGCAACCCCAAGCAAGGTGACTTGATCGAAGTGTTTCGTCCTGGCTATCAGCACTGGGCTCTGTACTTGGGTGATGGTTATGTTATCAACATTGCACCTCTAGGTAAGGTTTGTTTCCATCAGCTCTGGAGAGATGTTTTGTTTCCTTGTTATAAGAAGGAAGAAATAATCAAATAAAAATAGAAATAAAATGTAGAAAGTCTTAGATGATGATCTGGGTTTAGGGAGGGTCATAAAGTGTCTTGGACCAAAGTGGCATTGAAAATATCAAAAGGCCAGCTGCCAGCATTACAGCTTGGAAGTGGAAAAAAATTGCGGTTGAAAAGCAAACCATAAGGTGGGGGAAAATACTTTAAAAATTTAACAAAAATGTCTTTGTATGTCACCCCAAGAGATTATTTCAGTTCATTCAGCATGCATTTATATTTCAACCTATCCCCTAGGTTCTGGAGATACATAAATATTACCCTGTGAGGTGAAGCTTCCAATTTATTGGAGAGAGAGAGTGAGACAGAGACAGAGACAGATAGACACACAGACAGACAGATACACACACAGAGAATGCAATGCAAAAGAAAAGCAGTGTTAGGACAGTAATAAGTGAAATGGCAAAAATAAATCAGGAAAACGGGATGAGGATGCTGTGATTTTTAAATTACAAAAGTAATATTTGAGAAATGACTGAAATGAGGTGAGAAAACAAGGTGGTGATATTTGGGGAATATCTTAGACTTGGGTGCAGCAGCTACCAGAATTTCAATAACCAACTACTTCCTCTAATAGGTAGAGAATTGTGAACAGAAGAGGAAAAAGCAAGTCAACTTTGCTCTTTCAAAAGTATCTATGTTGGGAACCAGAGCGATAGTACAATGGGTAGGGCATTTGCCTTGTATGCAGTCAACCCAGGTACAATTCATGGCATCCCATATGAGTCTCTCAAAAGTAATTCCTGAGTGCAGAGGCAGGAATAACCCCCGAACATTGCAAATAAAAGTCTATACTTTTAAATAATCTAGGAGTTGTAAAATATAGCAACAGATTTTATGCCAATCACATAAAAAATGGCCATCAGATCATTGGCAAGGGTATAAAGTGAACAGAAAGATACTGTTATGGAAATCTAAATGAATAAAATTGTGGGGCTGGAGCAATAGCACAGCGAGTAGGATGTTTGCCTTGCACACAGCTGACCCGAGTTCAATTCCCAGCATCCCATATGGTCCCCTGAGCACTGCCAGGGGTAATTTCTGAGTGCAGAACCAGGAGTGACCCCTGTGCATCACCGGGTGTGACCCAAAAAGCAAAAAAAAAAGAAGAAGAAAGAAAGAATTAAATTGTTTATGACAACAATTGAATAATTACTCTGACCTTGTCATTGTACTTGCATCATTCTGGAGAATTTTTATAGATACACACACACACACACACAGACACACACACATATAGAATATCTGTAGAAGATACTCACTTTTAAATGGTTTAAAAGAGATAGTACCTTAGTGTTTAGTAGTGGAATGGTTAAATGGGTTCTAATTCAACCATAAGACATTGAACGAAAGTTTACATTGCATGACAACAGAAATCACATTTAAATAAGCTTAAACAAAAAGTCAAATTTATTACTTCACTGAGAGTCATTACTGAGAGGATAGTATGGTGTTCATCTCAGAGTTGCCTCTTTGTAGGGCTTTAAAGTTCTTTGTATACAAGAACTCCTGTCAGTGTAGAGAAATAGAAAGGGCTCTGGGCCACATCTAGCAGACAATGCCTACATGGTTATGTTCAGGTTCAGGACTTAACTTTTTTGAACAAAGGAACTGATAAGACAAAATCAAGAGTCCAGGCTGACCCCAGTTTGCTTTTTCAGAGGACTAAGAGACCTCTGATATCCCATTGAAATCTGAGTTTCAAACTGGAGCCAACTTGTAGCCTTGTTGAAAAAGCCAGTATAAACAGCAAAGATACGAGAGTCAGTACCGTAGCCAACTAGCTAAGAGTCTGCTAACTTAATATACTACTGCTACACCCCAAGCATTCGGAAGCTGTAAAAGAGGTCACATCATAGAATACGTGGACTGAGACTGCATCTGTCCTAGGTCAGAAAATATACCAGGAAGATCTCTAATATTATCAATTCACAGAGAATCTGTTCCTCAAGAATAGGTAGAATACTCTCACCCAATTAGTACTATGTGGAAATGTAAAACTTCAAAAAGCTTTCTTCTACTGTCCATCAGTCAGTACTGAATAAATGTTATTGATTCAGAGTTGATGGCTAACGTGTTTCTGTGTGGTTTTACATGAGTAGCAAGGCTGGTTTACTTATTCCAGTCCTTTCGAAATTCTCAGAGAGCATTGGTGTTAGTATGACTGGCTCACTCTACCTTGCTAACCAGACTTCTGCTTACAGAGGATGGCGTTGCTGCAGCGTTTACAAGTGCCAAGTCTTTATTCAGCAGAAAGGCCCTGGTGAAGATGCAGCTTTTGAAGGATGTTGTGGGAAAAGACACATACAGAATAAACAACAAATACGATGAGATATACCCGCCTCTCCCCGTGGAAGAAGTCATGCAGCGGTCAGAGTTTGTCATTGGGCAGGAAGTGGAGTATGATTTATTGGTCAATAACTGTGAGCATTTTGTGACATTGCTTCGCTATGGAGAAAGTGTCTCAGAACAGGTGAGCTTCCTTTGGGATCTAGAAGCCCTATGTATTTTTTCAGTTGCATAAATAATGTCTTTCACTTGGAAAATTGTAACTATATAGCATGATGTGGGTTCCCAGGCATCCAACACAATATGAAGAAACAAGTACCTATGTGCAAACACTGAAGTACAGAGAAAGGGGATCGGGTTATCTTAGGTCATGTGGCAAGTTCATGTCCCATCTTGACTAGGACATGGCTGTCATTAATTTGGTGCTAAAAGGGGCTTAAGCAAAATTAACACCATAGCTCTCTAATATATTCTTAGAAAGAATACAGACTTTTTAGAGTGGAAGCTCACTTGCTGAAATCATTAATGGCCACTTGAGATGCTTTTTTGTGAAATCCATAGACCAAGTGAAGACATCTCTTGTTATATTGGTTAATGCCCTTTAGTTCTTTGTTTCAAGGGAAATTTTGGCTTTAAAGTGTATCCTGTATCCTTTGACACTCTGAGTTTTGGTATGCAGGTGGTAGGGGGATAAAGCTGGACTCCAGAGAGCACTTAACACACTTTAAGTTGTTTGCTACTTTGTCACTTATACCACTATTGGATGGCTTGGCAGACTCCTAATGACAAAGAACGCTTGATTCAGTGAACCTTTCCTGATCTATCATTGCATCAATCTGATGCCAATATCGATGACTTACTTGTTCATTTATGCGGTGGTCCAGGGAATTGAACCCCAGATATCACACAGGCAAGTCAAGTGCTATACTGCTAAGCTGCATTATGGGCCTCAACTCTGATGTCTTGAACTAAAGATTTGTTAAGATGATATGAGTATCTTAAAATGGTAGCTAAATTGTGTAAACATTTTTATCACAACAGCTTGGGAAACTGGGAAGTGGAATATAATATTTGTTTTTATTAAAAAATAAGTTAATTTAAATTCACTTTTATTAGAAGTTGTATTAACAAATGAATGTTCAATTCCCATGTAGTAGTAAATTATTTCTGAGCCAGAGCCCATTCTAATTATACAGCCATACATTCCAATTCCTGCTCACCTTCCCATTGAAAACAGTGTAACTAGGAAAGAGTCCATCCACCTTTGTTAGCAAGAAAGTTTTCCCCTTACTTGTACTTACTAAGATTTTTTTTTAAAAAAAGTGTGGCGAGATAGGGGAAAAAAGAGAAATTCTTGCTTTGACTTATCTGTGATCCATCATTTTTTTGGATCACAAAATGTTTTGGATCAAACCCCATAAAGAATGAATCATTCGGGTGGTTAAGAAATTGATTCAGTAGAGCTCTCTGCTTTCTCTGATTTACCTAAATGCATGTAAAATTTTCAAAGGTGTTCCCTCTTCTCCTCTCAGTGAAGGACAAAAATTAGTCATTGAGGATAATCAGTGGTAAAACCCTTACTATCCGATCCTCTGGAATCCACCTTTCAACAATTAGGTAGCCTGGAAACCTAAAGCTGGTTTCCCTTGCCCTGTCATGTAGAGAAATCTACATGCCTTTGTTAAGGAACGTATAAAAGTTTGAATTCTATGCCAACTCTTTGAGCTACTTTCCCTGATTTTTCTCCCAGGTTTCTACAAGGTTAACTTAATAAACTTCTACTTTTAATATGCTTTACAGAGCTTTAGCCAAGATTGTATGATGGGTAAAAAAATGCTATGCCTTCCTTAAAATTGTTTGTCTGAAGGTGTACACAATATTTTGTGTTCTGTGGGTATTGACAAACATATAATAACATGTATCCATCATTACCACTACAGTATCATTCACTGTAGATTTCTTGTCCCAAAAATCCTGTATTCTTCCTTTTCATCCTTGACTTACCTCTTAGTCTTGACAGCCATCAATCATTTCACTCTCTCTTTTGTAAAGCCCTTTCCAGAATTTCGTAGAGTGAAAGTCATACTAAGTAACACGCATTTAAAATTTCATGTCTTTTTTAACTTTTCATCTCTTTTTATCACTGAAAATATTTCACTAAGTGTCCCACTAATCTACTGAAGGACAATTTGGTTGCTTTCAAGTTTGGGTCATTTTATTTTGTTTTGGGAGGTGAGTACATCCAGACATGCCCAGGGCTTACTCCTGGCTCTGTGCCCAAGGATCTCTTCTGGCAGGCTTGGGGGACCATATGTGATACCAAGGATCGAGCCCAATAGGTTCTGTGCAAGACAAACTGCCTACCTGCTGTACTATGGCTCCAGTCCTCAAGTTCAGATATTTTTAAACTATTAATATCCATGTAAGGGTCTTTGTGTAAGCATAGATTTTCAACTGATTTAGGTAAAAAGCAAGGGATATGATTGCTTACTTGTATGGTAAGGGGATGTTTAGTTCTGTAAAAAGCTGCCAACCATTTTCCAAAGTGTTTGTTCCATTTTGTATCCCAACAATGAATGAGTTCCTGTAGTTCTGCATATACTCCAATCTTTGTTGTCATCTGCACTTTGGGGTTTAGCCTTTCTATCAGTTGTGTGGTAGCACTTCCTTGTTTTAATTTGTAAATCTCTAACTCCCACTAAAGCCCCCCCTTTTTAAAAATTTTTATTAGTGAAACACCATGAGGTACAGTTGTAGACTTACAAATTTTTTTGCTTGGGTTTCAATTATACAGTGATCAAATACCCATCCCTCCACCAGTGCCCATTTTCCATCACTATGGATCCCAGTATCCCTCCCACCCCCATCCCCCCATCCCCCCCTGCCTCTGTGGCAGGGCATTCCCTTTTGTTCTCTCTCTCCTTTTGGGTGTTATGGTCTGCAAAAGAGGCATTGAGTGGCAATCATGTTCGGTCTATAGTCTACTTTCAGCATGCATCTCCCATCCTGGGACGATCCTCCAAACACCCTTTACTTGGTGCTCCCTTCTCTATCTGAGCTGCCTTTTTCCTAAAGCCCCCTTTTATATGACGATTTTCTACTGCATATCATACTTGTTAATGTGTCTCTTGAAGTCGCTCTTGCCCATTTTTACTTAGGTGACATATTTATTTTAAGAGGTCCTGGCATATTTTTGATGAACTTTATCAGGTTTGTCTTTTGCAGATGTTATTTCCTTCTTCTCTCCTTTAGGGCTTGTCTTCTGTACTTAAAAAAAAAAAATCTAAAATCAGCATTTCTCAAAGTTATTGTCTAAACAAGTAGCTAAAATATGTTTGTTTTGTCTAAGCTAGCCACACCCTTGAACATATCTGGACAAGTTGCTCACACAACAAGTATGCTCCCAGATTTGATAGCTTTATAATAATCCTAAATAAGCTGGGAAGTAAAATATTGTGTTCATCCTGGTTTACCAGGAATATCTTGCAAGTCTTGCTAGTCAGATCCTGTTATTACACACAACTCCCAGGGATTATCAAAATTACACGGGATTTGGCCATCTTGAACACATTTTGAGATAATCATTTCGGATTTAGGGAACTGCATGCCCCGAAGGAGGTGACTTTGCTGTAATATTGTTGTCTGTGCAATCACATGGAATTTTTATTTAGGATCAAATTGGATTCATGAGATTTCTCTATCACCTTTGTTCCTAGTGACTGAGTGGTCCTCAGTGACTTACATTTTCATCTTTCTGAGCAGGATTCTCCCATTTTCCTAGAGCTGTTCCCTGTTGCACGACATCTCTGTGGGAGGAAGCCAATTGCACCGTCATATTTTCCTATGGCTCTTCCATTCCCTTCTATCAGGCCTTCATGGGCTCTCAGCATCTTCTTGAAATTTTTGGAACAGTGAGCTCGATCTGCAGCCCTTAGTCCCTGATTATTGATTCTATCACTCTTTAGAATTTTTGTCCTACACCTTGTATCTCCCAGGCTCTTATTTTGCTCCTCTTAAACTACCTGGGTAACTTCATGCTGCCATGAGTATTGACTGTCTTCTGGGAAATAAAACAGGTCATGACTCATTTAAGAAAGAAAAAAGAAAACAACCAAAGAAAATTAGAATTACAATCTAAAATCAAATTTGTGACGGTCACGTTATTTGCCAGTGTCATTCTCCCTGGCAGTTGGTGATGGGGACAGAGCAGAGAGTTACAGTTGCAGACTTTCCCTCTACACACACCCCTGGTTGGCTAAATGAAACAACGTGGGTGACTGTCATTGTGCCTCATTGGGGTCATTCAAGACTCTTGCAGCCTGTATCCAGTTAGGGCAGCAGTTAGAGCAGCAGCTTGGTGTGGCAGTAATTGGTGGGAGGCAGACTCAGTGGTGGAAGCCTAGGGGGTTAGAGAGAGCGTATGCTCATGCGTGCTGAGTCAGGCTCCCCAGCTGGCGAGGCCTCAGAATCATTTAGGGAAATAAATGTTTTTCTGTGTTTGATAGCCTAATTCCTAACTCCCTGAGAACAACAGTACAACTGTGGTTTTCAAAATACCTGATGACTCCAAAGCATCTGAATGTGACCTTTGCATCACAAAATTGCACTCAAACCTATGTGGATGGGAGGCAATATTAGTTGAGTGCCATGAAAGCCATGAATATTCATTAGCTTCCTCATCATGATGATGATTAATACCCTGAAAGCTTGTAAATGTCTGAACTCTTTTATGGACAATTGAGCTTGAGAGTGGTTTATTTTCATTTATCTACATGTGAATTAATTTTTGACACAATAGTTAGCATTAGTATTGACTTCTCTTAAAATTTATTTATTAGAGTAGAAGTTGTAGGTACCAAATAAGAGTTTATAGGTATTCAACATAGATCACATCCCTTAATTATTTTGCTAATAAATAAAAACACATACTCACATGTTTAGGGGGTGCAGAATGAAAAATGGGGGCACAAATCATTGACAGCACCCCATTTTTTGCAAAATATAATGCTACATTTCAGCTATACTGGGAAGTGTAAAGGATGGTTAATAAGAATTACATGCACAATGAATTTAGAAACTTCCAGGGACTATAAAGGTAGGAGAAATATATATCCATGTGTTCTTATATCTTTGGTATAATTACACAAATAAAAATTTATTTATTTATCTTTATAAAGAGCTTTAATGTTGCATTGTGCTTCAAATTTATCCAGTATGTATTCTGTAGTTGTTGAGTTTGGAAAAAAAGCTAAAGCTTGGGCTCAAGATGCCTTGTGATGCCTTGGGAATAAGATTTTTTTTTATTATTTATTTCTTGTTTCCTTATAGGCCAACAAAGCAATAAGTTCCATTGGGTTTGTGACAGCAGCTGCTGGTGTCTTCTCATTGCTGGGCTTGTTTCCAAAAAGACAAAGAACCAAATACTGTTAACAATTTACTGAAGAGATTTTGGAACTGAAGGAATTTGTGAGGATCTGGGGAATAAATTTTTTTTTTAAAAAAGGGGAATGTATACTTATTTTCACTGCATCGTTATTGTCCCAAATTTCAAATGATGGATGGCAAGCTCTTTAATAAATTGCTTACTGATGTTATCTCTTCATCGAGCCAAGAAAATTCTCGTCCCTACCCACAGAGATTTGCTATGACAGCTTGAACAAGAAACTGTAGCCTTTTGAGCGAGAGCACAGCGGATCTTAACAAAATCACATCATATTTTATCTTCTACTATAAATATTGCTTTCCTTTTCCCTAGGGGTGACTATTTTGAATTTGCCAGAGGGATGAAGAACAATTTATATATGATTTTTAAAAGAAATGTTAAGTTCCTTAAATGGTTAGGGTTGACATCTTAATTCACATTCCAGAAAAGATACTGCTAAACTCAACAATTGGTTAAGGCACTTTGAGGAAGTTTGATTAACAATCCAATAAAAAGTGCATTTTTCTCTCTTTGCTCATGCTGAGATGGGCTGAGGCTGTGTTGGGAAGGATGGAAGGGTCCTTGGCTCACCACTTTTCACATTCATTCATTTCCTTGGAAAGATTTTACCTGTCAGGTATATGTAAAAGGAGCTAAAAACAAGCACAAAGTTGTTACAGGAGTAGAAGGGTGAAGCATCGAGTGAATTTAGTGGGTCACTTTAAATCTCACTGTGGAACAAGTAGCCAATCAAATCAGATTATGGGTTAGCTGGGGGTGGGAGATAAAGCAGAGAAAAAGGAATCTTCCAGCCAGTCTCTCTCTTCCATGTTCACCTGTGCTGAGATGGACTGCAGGATCAGGCAGGGCAGATGGCCAAATATAGGCAGGGCTCATAGGTCTGGACAGATGGCAGAAAATGAGCAGGGCTCAGAGGCCCAGACTGACGACAGATTTGGGTAAGGCTCATCGGCCGGGCCACAGGTAGGTTTTGATCACAGGCATCTCTCATGTGTGGCCAGACTGGGGAGAGCTGAGATGTAAGGGAATTGCTGGGGTGCCATCCAAAGGAAACCCAGTGACAAGATTTCAGAGAATGAAAGTGGGTGCTGGATGGAGAACAGTGAGGTCTAGTTGTACACGGTAACGAGGCAGTGCCAGAACAGGACATTGTACATGGGTAAAAAAAGAGGTCTGGACATTTGGGGAAGGACACAGACCCATCAATTTGAGCTGTGCAATGAACTCAAACTTTTAATCATCTGAGATTTGCATGCAAATTTTTCATGCCATTCTCAAGAATCCACCAGCTAAGGAAAATCTACCTTTGTGGTAATATTCCTACCAAAATACTAAGTTTCCTTTGGTGTTTGAAATATTTCAAGACTTTGAGGTTTTAAACTTTAGTAAAAAGGTTCAGCCTAGATTTAACCTTAGGTGTATATTTAAGATGCCAGATTCAGAAAACAAGCACTTGTGTTACTTTTTATTATGGCTTTTCATTTAAGGAATATCATGGTCTTGATTTTACTCTCCCATTTTATTGAGTGTTGGACAGACACTACTTTTAAAATACCATCCAGTGTAGTTCTTATGTGTAGCATGTGGGGGGAGTCACTATGCTCTAGAATTACACAACGGTGTGAAATGACTTCACAAGGCTTACGACCCACCAATGGTATCCTTCTTGGACCACCATCACAAGTATTACATTAAAGGAAGAGCTCATTGCAGGGGGGTTGGGGGGGCGGGAGTAACTGGCAGGTAGTGGGTGAGGGCTAAAGTAAGAAAACAAAGGATCATACTAACTCAAGTTACACAATAGAAAAGTCAACAGAAGTCTTGAACCTGTTAAATTGGGCCATAATCTGAAGACTGGATCTTGGAAAAACTCTATAGTCTAACTGAAGGCTAAGAATATTGACAGCAGACAGATCAGCAGACAGATTCTGTACTAAAATGGGGGCTAATAAAGATGCTACTTGTCTTTTTTCCTAGTTCCCTGCCTGATCCCTTCCCTAGCGCTAAGGCAACTTTATGCCTGAAGTCCCTTTTTCTCCACTATCCTGCTAATGTGTATCTTATCCCAGCTGTCATGATCCAGGATTTCCCGTCTCATTTTTATGGAGTTCAGTTTTCTGCTTCTTTTATGTCACACTCAAGAAACAGTTAATTACAAGTGGGCACTTTCCTAATATTGTCAAACTGAAGAGGCAGTGGCATACACTGAATGTGTTACTTCTCCAGAGTGATACTTATCTTTTACTATGAATACTCTCTCAAAGATGACTGTATTAAAAGAAGGCAAATCTTTTTATTTATTTATTTATTTATTTGGGGGGGTCACATATCTGGTGTTGTTAAGGGCTTACTCCTGGATCTGTGCTTCAGGATCATGCCTGGCCAGCTCAGAAGACCATTTGGGGTGCTGAGGATTGAACCCTGGTTTGCTTCATACAGGCAAGCACCCTACCTGCTGTCCTTTCACTCCTGCATCAATGGCAGGCAAATCTTAACCCAAAGTAAAAGGAATTGTGTGTAGATTGGATACATACTACTACATAATCCTCATCCCCTGTCTTTTCCCACTATTACTGGTACAATATGAAAAAAATTTAAAAAAAGCTTCACCTGAATATTGATGGAAAGACACTGACTTGGTGGTGGTGGTGGGGGGGTGTGTGTAGTATTGGAACATTTTATATCTAAAACACAACTGTTAACAGCATTCTAAACAATGATCCTTAAATTAAGATGGGTGGGAGCTTCTCAAAATGATCATCGATTTTGTTGCATAAATTTTTTTTATAAAATATTACTATGATACTCTCAGTAGCTTGCCAGGCTCTCCTAGAGGGGCGGAGGAATCGAACCCGGCTCTGCCGGGCCAGTGGCTTGCAAGGCAAATGCTCTACCGCTGTGCTATCACTCTAGCCCAGCAAGCTACCGAGAGTATTTTACCCGCACTGCAAAGCCTGGCAAGCTTTGCCAAACACAGTAACAACAAGTCTCACAATGGAGACGTTACTGGGCTCCACTAGAATAAATTGATGAACAACCGGAGCACAGTGCTACAGTGCTACTATGATAATGCCCATGTAAACTATCTGGAGCTACACTAATATGAGGAAGGTACTTTGGTGTGGCAGCCAGTGAAGTGTGGACTTGATGGCTGAGGATTTCCGAGTTATCCTCTAGCCAAAGCTTTCTACTCTGGGCAGATCCACTAGAGAAGGCAGTTGGAGCAATGTTGGATAATGTCACAAGCACTCTCTCATGGGTTAATGGATCTTGGATTCACTTGTCACATACATAGTATTCAAGGCTTCAATAGTGTTGACACTTAGAGATAAACTCACAAGGTTAACCATCTGTTTTCTGATTTAAAGTGGCCACTCTGGATGACCAGCTGCTTGATCCTGTCAACTTAATTTTTCTAGGAAATGGTCATTTGATCTGTAGTATGCTTATTGTGCTTTCATTTACTTTTTCCCCAACAGTATTAAATATTTCCCTGAGCACATAAACATATATACATATACTTCTGTATGTATATATTTCACGGTCATGGTCCTCTTGTTGTTCATCGATTTGCTCGAGTGGGCCCAGTAACGTCTCCTTCGTGAGATTTGTTGTTACTATGTTTGGCATACTGAATATGTCACGGGTAGCTTGCCAGGCTCTGCCGTGTGGGCAAGACACTCTCGGTAGCTTGCCGGGCTCTCCGAGAGGGGCGGAGGAATCGAACTCGGGTCAGCCATGTTGGCTGCGTGCTGGAGCAATAGCACAGTGGTAGGGTATTTGCCTTGCATGCAGCCAACATGGCTGACCCGAATTCGATTCCTCCACCCCTCTCGGAGAGCCCGGCAAGCTATCGAGAGTATCTCGTCCGCACAGCAAAGCCTGGCAAGCTACCCATGATTGTATTCGATATGCCAAACACAGTAACAATTGTCACAATGTCACTGGGCCTGCTCGAGCAAATCGATGAACAGGAGGATAGTGATAGTGATAGTATATATTTCACATGTTAAGTCCTTGAGTTTCTATATGTGTATTGTGTGTGTGTGTCAAGGGCAGAGTTCCACTTTATTAGGCCTCCTTACCCCAAAAGAAGGAGGTACATGAAAAAAATCACCAAATAGATATCTATTAAGTTCTTTTCTTTTTTTTTGTTTAGAGAAACAGGTTTGCAGAGAGAGAGAGAGAGAGAGAGAGAGAAAGAAAGAAAGAAAGTGTGTGTGTGTGTGTGGTGTGTGTTTGTGTGTAAGGGTATGTTATACATTTATTGAATCAAGATTTTTTAAATATGTATATTATACAAATGTCATAGTTTATCGACTCAATCTATTCTAAAGGTCAAATAGTTAAATACAGATCAGGAAAGCTGATATATCATTTTTTTCCCAATTGACATCCTCTTCCTAATCTTAAACTAAAACATTTATCTTTTTCTTTTTTGTAATCGCTGCATTAGACACATTTTGGAAATTATCACCTTAAGAGCTGTGCAGTCAATGAAAGGTTAAAAAGCAAAAGGAAGATAGATAATAGAGTTTGCATTTGTGCTGCTGGTTTGAGCAACAAAATATAATAGTTAAAGCAATGAAATGCTGAAAATACTTTTTTCAATTCTAAATGTTTCAGAATTGAAAAAGTATTAATGACCCTCACTTCATACTATCAGTCATCTAGTTGGCACTCATTGAATGGGATGGGGTTATCAATGAGCTACCTACCAAATTGCTTATGAAGGATCTATTTGGAAAGCAAATAGCCCTTTTCATTACATGGAAAGTTCATTAGGAGTAATGTCTTCTCAATGTTTTAATGAGGTTAATGCATATTATAGTCAGTGGGGTACATAATATATTTTCAAAGGCAGTAACAGTTATGGTTATAATATGCATCCACAAACTTAGACTTCAAAAAAAAAACACAGCATAAAATGGAACCTAACTTTGGTTAGTATCTGCTAAGAACTGCTTTGCTCTAGATAGAAACACAATAGTTCCCTTCTCTAGGATGAATTTTTAAGTTAAGCAGTGCTGAATTTCAGTCAAATTTTAGAGTCATAAATTGAAGTTTTTCTCTGTCAGCAATAAGAAATAAGTAAAGGTTTCGTGCTTTTTAAATTGGAGAGTACATTTTAACAGTTATTTAATTACTTTTGTAAGCTGCTCTGGGCCTCTGAGCTCACTGGCTCCATAACAATATACTTTAGGAGATGCCAACTTTGATGGATTTTGCTTTTAGCTATGACCAAGTCGAGATTATGTGAAGTATCCTTCCCTCTCTGGGTGGAGCAATAGCCCAGTGGGTAAGGCATTTGCCTTGCACGTGGCTGACCCGAGTTCGATTCCTCCACCTCTCTTGGAGAGCCTGGCAAGCGACCAAGAGTATCTCGCCCACACGGCAAAGCCTGGCAAGCTACCCATGATGTGTTCGATATGCCAAACACAGTAACAACAAGTCTCACAATAAAGACATTACTGGGCCCGCTCAAGCAAATGATGAACAACGGGAGGATGGTGCTACAGTGCAGTGCTAGCCATTCCCTCTCAATTTCCACCCAGCTTATGGTTAGGGTTACTTTTATGAGGTTAATGCCAATTCTCATTTATCTATTAAAACCCTAGGAAAGAAACAGAAGGAGGGATTGTGTGACTCTAATAAAAGGTACTTAGATAAATGTTCTTCACAAGTAAACATAGATTTAAAAACTTATGATTATTGCTTAAAGAAGACATTGTCGCCCCAATTTATTTCTTTCCATAGATAAAAATAAGTGAAAGTTTTGAAGATCAAACTCTTTTTTTTTAATTAAAGTTCATACTTCAACTGTCATGAAAAGTTGTGCATGTTAGTCAAGATATGCCAAGTGGATAAAATTTGTTAGAATAATGGGGTAATCCACAAAGTGTATTTTTCCCTTATTGGTATAGGAAGTCATGTAAATTAACATATTTAAGGAATAGGATGCCAGGTAAATCAACAATAAACATATTTAAGGCATTTGTTGTAAGGCATAACACACTGAGAAATGAGAAATATGTCTTGAACTCAGATGGAGAGAGAAAAGATAAGGGCAGACCGCCATCACCTCGCCCAAGTGTTTTTGTACTTGGGGGTGGGGAGCAGGGGGAAGCAGATGCCATTAGAGTACAGACTTCAATTCTGATTACAATCTGGTCCAAAAATGCTGTTCTATGGTTTCGTCTCCCCGTTCAGGCTTTTCTTTTGGAATCTGTTCAGAGCTTTCATAGCCCATGTTGATGTAGAATCCATTTTTGCCATCTCCTGAATAATCTGTCCCTTTTGTGGGAGGCCATGCTGGGTCTTCTGCCAGCTTCTTTTGCAAGATCCTATACTGACTTTGAGAATGGAATCCAAGTTTTTTCTTGATCAATAGCCAGAGTTCTCGATTTTGAAGAATGGCATCCTGGAAAATCAGGTGGGAAAATGATCAAAGTATAATTTATGTCTTCCATATGTAGGTTGCTCACCCTTCTGTCCTGTCCCCTCAAACCTTCTTAGGAAATGTCCACTTTGTTTCTGTCACAATGGGTAGTCTCTCTACAGTCCCCATGAAGTCTAGCAATTCCTGAGTGTCTGGACAGGTGAGAGCATGTGGGATCACAGAAGTCTGATGGAAGCTCACAGCCTTTCTTCCCCACAGATCTCCTGGTTAAAATCATGGCAGGTGGGGCCAAAGCAATAGTACAGCAGGCAGTACTTTTGCCTTGCATACAGTCAACCCAAATTCAATCTCCGGCACCTTATATTGTCCCCTGAGCACCCTGAGTGATGCATGAGTGTAGAGCCAGGAATAATCCCTGAGCACCCCCAGCATGTGGCCTAAAACCAAAAATAAATCAATCAATCAAAAAATAAATGCTTATAAATAAAAAACTGGCTGTTGAGTTTACTTGGATTTATTTTACCACCAGACCGAAATAATAATAATGATGCATTTAAAATTAAACAAAAAAATCATGGCTACTTGCCACATGGAAGATGCTAAATAAGGATTTGGTAAATAACTGATTAGATGAATTTGATATCAAATGAATTATTTTTATTTTGGGGTTTCTCTTCTTATGTTTACATACATAGTCAAGATTTTGTTGTTGTTGTTTTGCTTTAGTTTAACTCTAGGCCACACCTGGTTGTGTTCAGGGCTTACTCCTGCCACTCTGCTCAAGGATCACCTCGGCAATGCTCAGGGGACAAAATGTGGTGTTGACGATATTACTGTATATTATTTACACAATAACAATTGGTAATTTTTTTTGTCAAAAGCCAATACTTTTGTCTATGCCAAATATTCTATGGATTATATTTTTGTACTTGCAATCTTCTTAAAATTATAATGATTGTATAAGATACATTCAAATTGTTTATAACTAAACAAGCAGTATATCTTTTTCTTTTATTTTTTGCATCTTTACCTTATACCTGAGCACAATCCAGTATTTTTTTTAATCCAGGATTTTCTAGTATAGCTAATACTATGATAAACTATGGAACATGTCATTTTTCTTTCATTTTATTTTTTTACTGTTTCAAAAATGGGATATCTCAGTAAAAATATGAGAAATTTTGCATACGTTTATGGAAGATAAGCTGAGTAGCCATATGTGTATACCTATTTATAGAAATATAAATAAAAAGATATATGGACTAATCCCCTTCCCCAAGTCTCTTAGAGACCCTGAAGTATTTTTTCTTTGAACTTTCCTTAAAAATAATATTTGATCTTTTTGTGAATAGGTAAAGTCACTTAATGATACTGAATAGAAGAGAAATTTTATAGGGTAGAAGACTGTCAAGGTAAGAATTGACTAGTTTGAGCAATGACTTCCTTTCTCTCTTAATTAAGGAAGCTCTCCTGAAGATAGTTCTTTATTCTAAATGGCCTCATTGAATTTTAGACCTGGAAGTCACCTGGTCAATCTCCACTAGACTACTAAGAATATTAGGACAGTGCAATTCAATGCCCTCATGTGAGGCAAAATTAGTTAACTTAGTATTTGGCTTTTATGCTCAGAGACTGGAAGCATTTCTGGTGAATTTTTGCTTTGTTCTTTGGGCCACACCTGGTTCTGTGTGACATATGCCTGGCAGTAGTTAAGAGACTATATTACCTCCACAAAGAAAACCACACAGAACTGGACGAGGGCTGCCATCAGAATGGAAACCCTCCATGATGTTATGGTTGGGATAAGCTGTTGAAAAGAAAAGTACCAGTATTATACTCTGCACACCTTCCACTTTGAACAAAACCACATATTGACTATCTTATCTAATGTATAGATTTGTACCAACTTTCTGAGCTGGCAAGCAGGCATTGCCTTCTCTATAGAGAAGAAGGTCAATATGTTGCCCAAGGACTGAATGCCACTCAATAAATGGCTGAAGTAGTTTACACTAGCATGACTCCATCTCAGCTTTTGCTCCCTCTGCTGCCTGCTGACAAATATGGCGTAAATGTGCCTTGGGTTACAGACACAAACCCTGACCCATTGGAGCCAGTGTGTTATTCTTCATTTTTTCAAGTAGACAGAAGGATATACAATCAAATCATTGCTCTAATACCATGATTCTACTAATTTTCCTAAGGAAAAATTGACTTAGAATTTACCCATTTAATAAAATGATATATTTGGATAAAACATATGGAGATGGAGATTCAGGTTTATTTTGATTGAAACTGTGGTGATATAGCCAAATTTCTAACGCCAGTTGGGTGGGGATGATGGTATAGTTGCTGAGCTTCCTTGAGACCCTCCCACCCACCAGTACCCAAACATTCACCTTTAATGCTAATCCTTACTCTGGTAAGGGCTATTTCAAAGCAATACTTCAACCTCCTCTCACTCCCAAATTAAAACAGCCTCTCAGGGTCGTTGAAATTCTATACCCCTAGACAAGTGCTATCTGGAGAAGGCTGTGTGTCAGAGCAGAGTGGAGAACAACTTGGCTCTCTGCCTCTACCGCTGCCATCTGGATACGGGATATCTACCCCTGAGCCTGGAAGTCACTTGTAGTTTATTTAGAATTGTTGCGTATGTGCTGACCTTTCCTTTGAGCTTCTGAATGACTGGAGAACTATGTCTTCATCTTCTAGTTATGTGACCCCAGTGCCAAGCGCACTCTGTGGCTTCATAATGTTTCATAAATGACTGCAAGGTCTGGGGTTCATTCCCTGTCTTTCTCTATGCACCTCTGTGATTTCCATAACCTCTTAATAAATCTAACTTAAAATTAGTATGCCCCGAATCGGTGTTGTCTCTGAAAGAAAATACCCTAAGGCAGTGTCAAGATGGGGCATAATTGGCCTGTGAGACTACTTTTTCTTACTCAACACAGCATGGATGGAACTAGAGGATCTCATGCTGAGTAAAATCAGTCAGATGGAAAGGGATTGACACAGAATGATCTATCATATGTGAGACTTAAAGACCCACAGCAAGGGAGCAAAAAAGATCCAAAGGCAATATAATGGGAGAACTGATTCACAGAATTGGGTATGGGAGGCTGGCTTGAATGGGGGTGGGGTGGTGGAGTCTTTGGGAGAAGGAGCTAGGTAGGTACACTGGTGATGGATATAGTGTCAGAATTATGTGCATGAGGAACCATTATGAATAGTATTGTAAACCACAGAATCTCAATCAATAAAAATGTTCTAAATCTACTTTATAAACAACTTCTATTATGTTTTTAAAACAATACATTCTGTTGTACATTACTAATAGTAATATAAACTACAGAATCTCAGCAATAAAATAATTTTAAAACCACTTTATACACAATCTTGATATGCTTTAAAGCAATAGATTCTGATGTTAATGCTTTACATTAATTATATTAATATTCAATGGAAGAATAAAGCACCAAACATCCAAATATGGTGCATGTGAGTTGTGCCAGAGGTACAAATGAATGCCACTTACCTCCATTCCTTCATGTATAACTTGAAAATCAGAAAACAGAATGAAAATTGTGATGCCCAAGGCAGAGAGCAGCAAAAATGAGAATATATCTGAAGAAACATCAAACATTATTTTTAGACACCAAAGGAATGTTTTGTATAATTTGGCACATACTTGAGAATCAATTATCTCTGTTGGGCAAATACCGAATACATCTTTGATGTTTTGATATATTTCATATGTTTTAAAATATGTTCTAATACTTATACAACAGAGGTGATGTCTCAGAATATTTCCTCGAAAGGTTGGGAATAGAAAGAAACTAACAAAATGTATATTAGGTAGTGGCTTCAGTTCACGAGTCCTGGGAAGCAGGGACAATTTGCAGTCAGCAATGGACATTGATGCTCTGTCACTGGGCAGTTAGTGCACCATACATACAGAGATATGCAACCCTCATGGTAGCCACTCATTCTTTGTTGCCTGAAGAATATGTCCAAGGACCTTAGATTGACATTCAAGAGCTTCCAGAATCTGGTTCCAACCAAACTTTTCAGTACTGGTTTCTGATGGCTCTTCCGAAAGTTCCATGGAAGTTCAGCCAAAAACCTGCTGCTTCCATAGAGGGACCATTACTGTCCAGCTTTTGTGCACTGGTTCACAACCTGACTTAGCAACTTCTACTTTTTCTTTAAAAGTCTCCTTCAAAGGCTGCATTCTCTTTAAAGACTCCCTTCTAATAAAGTTAGGTGTAAAATGATGTATCCAACATCCTGGTTTGGATAATCTTCCTATGTCAATAAACTTGACTGCAACCATTTGAAAGTGACTTTGAGCTTGATTTTCTGGGACCTCTGAATTGAGAAAGTGAGAAACTAGCATCACATATGCTATGTTCTGTCTCTTTAACCTGATCAAAGTGCTTGACTATGGGGATCTTAACTTTCCAGGATACACCGTACCAACATCATCCATCCACTCCCGTGCCCAGAAGAACACAAGAAATTTACAGATGGTGCCCAAGCCTCTTTTTTTAGAGAATTAGAACTTGTAGGATACATCAATAACATTTAGGGATGGAGAGAGAGTGCAGTGGGCAGATCATGTGCCTTGTATGTGATCAATCAGGGTTTGATCTCTAGCACCCCATTGTTACCCCAAGCCCTGCCAGGAGTGTATCCTGAGTGCAGAGCCAAGAGCAAACCCTGAGCACAGTCAGACATGAACCAAAATTCATAAAGGACTGCATTTAAACATCTGTATTTTTACATATACATATTTTTAGTATAAAAATTAAAGTTTTGCGGCTGGGCGACATTATGTGATTCTCATACCAGCTATAGAAAACAAAGTATTTCACAATGCCTTTTCAGCAATTCTGATTGTTGGGGGGGGGAATTCTAAACAATAATGGTGCATCTTTTGTTGAAATAATGAATGTAATCAATGTAGAGAAGAGTTAAGTAGAAATCATCTGCCTCACAGGAATTGGGAGGGGTGGGAGAGGGGTATATTGGGTGCTTGGTGGTGAGGGATGAGTACTGCTGAAGGGAAAGGTGTTTGAACATTGTATGGCCGAGACTTAAACCTGAAGGCTTTGTAACTTTTCCCGCAGTGATTCAATAAATAAATGTAAGAAGAAAAAATAAATAAATAAAATTATGAAAAAAAGGAAGGTGGAGTTCATGCCCAATTCAATCAGCTAATCAGTGGCTGACTAAATAGCAGTACTCCTACATTAAAAAAAAAGAAAAAAATCAAAGTTTTCTACTATGCTCAGTTTGCCTCATTTATTTCACTGTTGATGTTCTATTGGGTCCCAATTGTTTTGCTTTGTTTTGTTTATAAGCCATAGCTGGCAATGCTCAGAGATTATTCCAGGCACTGTGATCAGGGGATGCTCCTACAGCTGTGAGGAGTACCCATGCGGTGCTAGGGATTGAGTCTGGGGCCTCCTGGATGTGCTCCAGCATGTGCTCCAGTCCACTGTACTCTCTCTGACTCTCATTCCCCAACTCTATAGAGCTATGCTAACCAGAAGCCATAGGCAACTGCTTCTATAAAATAGACTCTATTTTTGAAGCCATTAAAACTGTTTTCACCCTCAGACACCTACGCCCACCATATTTCCCATTACTCATATTAGATATATAGCTTAGTGCAGCACCTCCTGTAAGAATGGACAGGCTTATAAGCTACCTTCTTAGATGGAAACTTCTCTATTTTAGCTCAGCCACTAGAAACACAGTAGCCAATAACTCATAAGCCTATCTTAACTCACACTGCATATCAAGCAGAATAGTAACAGTGAACGTGAAGGACTAAACCACACCTCTCACAATGGTAAAGCAACGCAAAAGCCCACCAAACTTTCATATTGAAGAGTCTAGCCCAGATGACACCAACAGTACTGTAGTGTTAGACAACCTCTCTGACAAGGAATTCAGGAGGGAGCTACTTAGGATGCTTAGGGAATTAAAAGAAACAATGGAAAGCAATGCCAATAGAAGACAAGAGGATCTGAAGGCAGAAATGAGGAAAATGCAATCAGAAATGTCAGACCTGAAAAATCTCGTAGGCGAATTGAAAAGCTCAGTGGAAGGCCTCAGCAGCAGAGTAACAGCTGCTGAGAACAGAATCAGTGAACTCGAAGATGAAGTTCAGAGACTATCCAGAAAAGAGCAGAAAATGGAAAAGAGACTCACAATTCACGAACAGATGGCAAGAGAAGATCGGGATGAAGCCAAGAGGGGTAACATAAGAATTATTGGAGTCCCAGAGGTACAGGAAGAAAACCTTGATGAAGAAGAAACTGTCAAAGACATCATTGCTACAACGTTTCCAGAGCTGAAGAAAACTTGTGACCACATTCAGGAGGGCCGAAGGGTACCAGCTAGAAGAAATCCGAATAAAAATACCCCAAGACACATTCTGATCAAAATGACCAAAACCTTAGACAGAGACAAAATTCTGAAAGCAGCAAGATCGAAGAAAGAAATCTCTTACAAAGGAGCAACCTTAAAATTCACAGCTGATTTTTCTGATGAAACCCTCATGGCCCGAAAACAGTGGTGGGACATAGTGAAAAAACTCAATGAAATAAATGCCTCTCCAAAAATACTTTACCCAGCGAGACTCTCATTCATAATAGAAGGAACAACACACAGTTTCACAGACAAACAACAGCTCAGGAACTTCATAGACTCAAAACCATGGTTACAAGAACAACTAAATGGGCTACTTTAAGGCAAGAAAGGCCCCTCAAATACAACAAATTTTAACAGAACAATGGGACAAAATCCCATAACAATAATCTCTCTCAATGTCAATGGGCTAAACGCACCAATTAAAAGACATAGAGTGGCAGGATGGATTAGAAAATTGAACCCAACATTCTGCTGCCTGCAAGAAACGCATCTCAATAGTCAAAGCAAACACAGACTCAGAGTCAAAGGCTGGAAAACAATCCTCCAGGCAAACAGCTCCCATAAAAAAGCTGGGGTAGCCATCCTTATATCAGACCACATCGATTTCAGAGTGAGGAAGGTCATAAGAGACAGTGAAGGCCATTTCTTATTGATCAAAGGATCTGTACAACAGGAAGAACTTACAATAATAAATGTATATGCACCTAAAGAGAGACCAGCAAAGTACTTAAAACAACTACTCATAGATTTGGAAAAAGACATCAATAGCAACACAATACTAGTGGGAGACTTCAACACTGCTTTGTCACCTCTTGATAGATCAACCAGACTCAAGCTTAGCAAGGACATACTTCATTTGAGGGAAACAATGGAAGAAAGGGACTTAGTAGATATATATAGGACACTTCATCCACAAAAAGCTGAATACACATTCTTCTCAAGCGTCCATGGAACATTCTCCAAGATAGACCACATGCTGAGCCACAAAACATGCCTCCATAAAATTAAGAAGATAGAGATTGTATCAGCAATCTTCTCAGACCATAATGCGCTGAAATTAGAAGTAAATCACACACAAAAACAGAAAACTAAATCAAACACCTGGAAATTAAACAGTGCACTATTGAACAACGAGTGGATTAGATAGGAAATCAAAGAGGAAATCAAAAGATTCCTAGAAACGAATGAAAATGAGAACACGAGTTACCAAAACTTATGGGACACAGCAAAGGCTGTGTTAAGAGGAAAGTTTATAGCTCTACAAGCATTCCTCAGGAAGGAGCAGCGAACACACATAAGTAACCTAACCTCACAGCTTAAGAGCTTGGAGAAGGACCAAAAAAAGGAGCACAACCCGAACAGGAGAAAGGAAATAATAAAACTCAGAGCAGAGATTAATGAGATGGAAACCCAAAAAACAATCCGAAAGATCAATGAAACCAAAAGCTGGTTCTTTGAGAAAATTAACAAGATCGATAAGCCGCTAGCAAAACTCACAAAGAAAGGGAGAGAGAAAACCCTAATAAACCGAATCAGAAATGAAAAGGGGGTCATTACAACAGAAACCACAGAAATTCAGAGGATCCTCAGGGAGTACTTTGAGAAGCTTTATGCCACGGAACATAAAAACCTCGAGGAAATGGATAAATTCCTAGACTCCTACAGACTCCCAAGGCTGAACCAAGAAGACCTGGAATACCTGAACAGACCTATCACCATCAAGGAAATTGAACTGGTAATAAAAAATCTCCCCAAGCACAAAAGTCCTGGCCCGGATGGATTCACTAGTGAATTCTTCCAAATCTTTAAAGAGGACTTACTCCCAATGCTCTTTAAGCTTTTCCACGAAATTGAAATATCAAAAACACTTCCGAACAGTTTCTACGAAGCAAATATCACACTGATACCAAAAGCAGACAGAGATACCACAAAGAAAGAGAATTACAGGCCGATATCCCTGATGAACACAGATGCAAAGATCCTCAACAAACTACTAGCAAATAGAATCCAACTACTCATCAAAAAGATCATACACCATGACCAAGTAGGATTCATCCCAGGGATGCAAGGATGGTTTAACATTCGAAAATCAATCAACATAATCCATCATATCAACAAAAGAAAAGATAAAAAGCATATGATTATATCAATAGATGCAGAGAAAGCATTTGACAAGATCCAGC